TTTTCAGGCGCCTGTGGCAGCCGCTTTAGTCCATGTAACGACCTCACCTTTTCCCCCCACACATCCCACCCCAGGGGAGGACATCCATCACACAGTAATCTCGTGTGTGGGAAATTAACATCTCCTACCCTAATTAACCCTGCAGGAGACGGGACCTCCATTTTGTTCCTCCTTATCCAAGAAGACTAGAATATCTATCCATTTCATTGATGTTATAGAAAGGTAGCAAATTCTCCTCAGTTATTTTAAGACAATGAGTATTGGTCCGACCGGGGTTCAAACCCTTGACTTTCCGCACAACACAATGCGGCGCTCTAACCAATTGAGCTAACCAGGAGGCGGTTGCAAACAATTTATTTTTTCTTTTCAGACCCCGCGAACAGTTTTTTTCAATATTTCTCATACCCCCCTCCAGAAAAATAATGGTCCGTGCGTTACTTCCATGTTGAACTAGAAAATAAACTTGATGATGAACTATTGTCCTCTATTGATTGTTTCTGTCTCCATCTCCTTGATATTGTTAATGGTCCTTCACTGAACATATTAAACGCTTTTGTCATGTTGTTTCAGAGTGTGGTTTTTATTTCCCAACGTTTCATTTCTCTTACATTTCTCGCGTTTTCGCGCAGAAGTTGTTCACGCAAAATACGTCACGTTCTCCACGCGTGCGCGGAAGTACTGGAAACGAAGAGAATTCAAAGAAAATGGCGGCGGAAAATTATATTCCCCAACGATCCCCAACTGTCCGATACTAATTCGCCTTATTGGCCTACTTTGGCGGCAGTTCCTGCACAAAAATGGCACCATCGATATCTTTGAATGCTAAGGACGTGTTATAAACTGTTTGGTTACATTTATTGCGAGGGAAATGTAATACAGCTGCTGCTAATGTTATTCTTGATGACAAACAGTGCTGTTGTTCGGATGCAAGGTAAGCTTCTAAAGGTGCTTGTTAGAGGGATACTCTATTCAAGGAAACTTATTGTCTCTTCAAGAAAACTTATTATCTGATTGCATGGTGGACTGCACAGGGAATCTCTGAACAATTTATTTTTTATTATGATCTGATTGTTAATTCCCCCTAAGCTGCTACTTGTTTTCTTGTAAATTGGTTACAAGAGTTTGGTCCTAGATCAAGATAACAAATTCTGCCTGCTAAGTTTGAGTATTCTTGTTACCTGTTTGCAGAATAATGTAAAATATCGTAGGGATAATATTTGAAGTGACATGTTTACTTGAAGAATAGATTGCAATATGTTTCAGTATATTCAAGTAAATCTCCAGTTTTGTAGATTGTAATCGCTGATGTTGCTGATGTTGAAGCCACTACAGTGTTGCTTTGAATTCGATTATGTTGGAATTTAATTTTGAGATTTTACCCTCTGATACAGATTTTTACTGACTGAGTGACCACAATTTCAATAAAATTAATGCTATTTTGTAAATAAACTCCTTCGAGACACCAGTGTGTTGGCCATTGATGTCTGTGGCAGATATCATCAGAATTAATATTTTGCCAAGAAGTGGGGCTTCAAGGGAAAATGTTTAATGTGAGGATAATCTCCCAGCAAGGAAATTATCAGCCAACAAACCAGCATGCCAGAAGGGGGTTTATTTATTTTATAACCCTCCCATTAATTTTCATATTGCACCTTGACAGCAAATTTATTAAGTTTTTCATACTTTTTGATAAGGGTTATAAAAGGCTATAATTTGTCGTCCTTGGTTTAATGTGAATGTCCAACCTTAAATTAGTCAGTAATGTGTTGATCAATTGAAACTTCAACCTTCCCCCTGCCCCCCAGACATTTTCAGCTTTTGCAGATTGGTTACTTCAATGTTCCACACTACCCTGGGAAAAATTGGGCCCAAATGCCCCTCCCAACTGCTGGATTTTATGGTCAAATGCCCTTTCCACAGAAAAAAATGTTTGAATAGTGAGAAAATGCCTTTGTATCAAAACTGAACTGTCATGTTTCATGATAATGCAGTTGCCTCTCCTGGGTTCTGTTAGAGTGAGAGCAAATCAAGTTTGGATCTCCTCTGTAAAATGCATATTTCAAGCTTGCCAGCAATAGCTATTACAATCATAGCAACATGTTCATGATGTTCATAACAGAGGCATTTAGCAACTGAGTGCAATACCTCTGAATGAACTATATGTATCATTGTTTAAGAGAAATTGTTGTATTTTTTTTACAGCTGCATTTGTTCTCTCACTATTAAATAACAGTTCTTGATCCACAGACAACAACTATTTCATAAAAAATGGCAAGATCAGCAACAGTGTCTTTCTTCTCATGTACGACATGTAGCAACTGATTTGACTATTCAAGCTTTGAAATATAAGAATCGCACAACTCAATTATACACTCTAATTTTCTAACATACTTTCAAAATTCTTACTTTTTCATAATTTGGATATATCAACAAAGTTGAAATGGTAAATTGGCCACCATAACGATTACAAAAGCTGACGTTTCGAGCGTTAGCCTTTTGTCGGACTTCTTCTTCTGAACCATTCTCCCACAAAAGCAAACTCTTTCCCTTTAAACTCCTCCATATTAAAATGACTAACACTTCCAGTTCAAATTCCCCACCCCACTCAGGCAAAGTTCAAACTCCTCACCCAAGGAGGGCCTTTTGTGTCAAATTTCCTACTGCCTGGGCATGAAAAATAAACAAATGGGTCACGGGTTTCCCACAGGGAGGATGAAGAGGCTTCAACACTGCAACACTGGTAGCCTACTAGTTAGCAGTATGCTTTTGGCTCAAATCTAGCTTAATTGATCTGTTAAAACCAGGATTTGGAGGCTAAGTAGCAGAGTGTCTAACGTACTGATCAAAATTCTTAGATATGACTCTTGTTTTGAGCATGTCTATGTTCTGAAGTGAAAAAGGTACTTTTACCCTAATAATAATAATAATAGTGGTGATTCTTTATAAAAAATAATACTGTGACAAGACATTTCAACAAGTGGTCTTTTCACTCCTCTAGGGACACGTCAAAGATAAGAAATGTTTCATAAACATCAGTCAATGAAGAGACCCGATTTCAATGAAGCCTTGTTGGATTGTTGTACACATGTAAGCCCCACGCAGAGGACATCACTCAAACAATGGACAAGTTTGATTTAAGTCAAAGAAATTTTGGGCATGGTAAGATGTAGCTAGTCTGAGTTTACAACACAACTGAGATCTCTTGAAAGACAAGGAGAGCCACAAAGAAGAAATTGATAGAAGAAAAATTAGGATTCTCTTCCAGAAGATATAAAACAAACTGATACTGTTACTAGGAACGGTGTCATCGTAGTGGTTTGCCTCCATAAGTAGACTGGTCTTTTATCTGGCAAGTTGTTTTTTGTTTGTTTATTTATTCTTTTCTTTAATGCAATTCAATTAGTTCAGGGTTAGCTCAATTGGTTAGAGCGCTGGACTGTTGTGCGGGAGGTCGAGGTCGATGGTTCGAGCCCCGGCCGGACCAACACTCAAGGTCTTAAAATAACTGAGGAGAATGTGCTACCTTTCTATAATATCAAGAAATGGACGGACATTCTAGTCTTCTCGGACAAGGACGAATAAACCGTAGGTCCCGTCTCCTGCATCTATTTATTAGTTAATTTGGTTAGGCAGGGGACGTTAAAGAACCCACTCACGAGATTACTGTGATGTGGTCTGGCCTGTTTACTGGGAATTGTGGAGAGGGGGCATCTTCAAATAAGTTTCCTTCGATTGTTTGTAAACTACTGATGCAGTCCGGCCAAAGTCCCCCAAAAGGTGTTGTGATGCACATTTGATAATATCCACATGTTAATTTGCGCAATATAAATATATAATTATTATTATTATTATTATTTTTTTTTTTATTTTTATTATTATTATTATTATTATTATTATTATAAGAGTGTTGATGAAGACTTTCCGTGGGACAATCTACTCCGACTGCATGTTCTTAACCTTGACTCCCAGGAGTGATTGACCTGTGACTTCTCCCTCTAATATCCATACATGATCCAGCAAATAGGTAATGAGAATACTCAAACTTATCAGGTAGAAGTCATTACCTTGATTGATCACCAAATTCCTGTAACCAACTTACAAGGAAATGTGTAGCAGCTAGAGGGGAGAATTCACAATCAGATCTCTGGAGTTAAAGGGTTCGTAGCACATCGTTTTACCACGAAATGGAATAAAAACTGGAAAATATTACATGACCTCGAAGTATGGATATCTCATCATTGTTACGAAGTATACAATCAGAACTCGCCTTCGCTTGTTTGTTTGATTTGCTCGCCTTCGCTTGTTTGTTTGATTTGAAATAAGGCGTCCAAACCTTGTTGCTGATCGTTCTTTATTGTTGACCGTTTCCAGTATCATTTAATTGACTTGACTGCGCATATGATGGGAGGAGGGGCTAGCTAACTGCAGGCTCGTAACGAGGTATATTTACGTAAATCCATTTTTGTGGCTAATTTTCTTGCAAAGCCTAGAGTTTTCCTACATTTTGTTTTTTTTATCTCCTCGATTATTATCATAATAATCATCTTATAGCAAGTAGATATCCTCATTACTAAATATACATGCAAGGCTGTGGTCTAGCAGCCCACGGAGGCTCCTGGTGCCTTACTTTTGCTCTTGGGCGACTCGGAAATTTTAGTTTTTTCATACAAAGCTATGCTGAGCACCCTGGATTTCACAGTTTCAGAGCACTGGGCTCCATTCAATTTTCCTTAGGGCACAGCCTTGATACGTGCCTTTCTCGATGGGCGACTTGCAAAATACAGCTTAATGTTCCTTCGCCTTTAGTTTTTTTTTTTTTCAACGTATTTCGTCCACATGGCTGCAGATTAGATATTGCTTAATAGAGGTACCTCCAACTAGAACTGGTTAGGGGAACGAAAACAGATCAACATTATGGGCAGTTGAAGTAGGCAGGTTGTAACTGATTGAAAAATGTTCTATATGGGAATTTTTGTTCTAACTTGGATTAATTTTAGTTCGATCTAATCTCTTCAGTTTTTACGATGTGTACACCTCTTTGTTGCACTTTACCGTGTTGAAAATCAGCTTACAGGCAGTCACCTCTATCGTGCTGAAATTTAATGAAAGTTAACGAAGAGCTCTCCCATGGTCTTCGATCGGAAAACTCATTTGAATAACAAACATTTATTGAATCATTAATAATTCATATTTGAGATCGGACTTGCTCGTGGAAAGACTTAACGAGTTGTAAGAAATTTCAGCGTCTTTTTTAACTTCTCTGGGGCCAGGAAACCCATTATGTTTCAACCCAAATACTTTGGATATCGTCAGTTCTGTTAAGGCGGGAGAGTTTTTCCTCGAGTTTGCTGAAGCGATTGGTTTGAGGACGAAGAAAGATGAATGAATGTCATTTTGTCACGACTTTTCTCAAGGTGAATAACCTTCGTATTTATACATTTTGGATAGAAATCCAGTATACGTGTTTCTCGTTGTTGCTTTGGCAAAATTATTTCTTAGAGTTAAATGTAAAAAGGAAGGGTATGTAACACGCAGTGAAGAGTAAAGACATATATTCAGTAGTAGCCGCCATGACAGTTCTTGATGAGCCACGTGACTTTTAGGGCGGCAGCGAGAAATGCGTACGTTATTGATAATGTACTGCAGATCGCTTAATGACTCGTTTCTTTTTTATTTCTTTAGTTTTCGTTATTATTCTGTACACAGTTTCTTTTGTATTAATCTTTTAAAGTTAAATTAGTTTTAACGCGCCTGTTATTTCAATCCGTTGTCTGGATATCAGATCTTGTACTCTTGGCTACGATACTTGACTTTGACAGTGACTCTCTCCTCCCCGGGATGTAAACTATTATCAGTGACCTGTCGGTGAAACCTGACATTATACTTGAGGGGGGGGTGGCATGTTATGAACCAGCATCCTATGTATTCAACATATTGTTAAAATCAGACGAAGGGGCTGCAAACAAGTTTTTATTTTCCCTCTCTTATCACTGGTGCCTTTTACTTGTAAGAGCACTCACTTGAAGATGGGTGTGCTTGTATTCTTAAGATATTTAACAAATGGTAAACACCACAGCGTATACTATTGAGTTATGGATGCACGCGGGAGGTTGCTAAGCACGAAAGAAGCGTAAGAGTCGCTCTCGGCTATCGCCTCGAGCGACTCTAGCTTCTTGAGTGCTTAGCAAACCTCCCAAGTGCATCCATAACTCAATAGTGTACGCTGTGGTGTTTACCATTTGTTTTATAACATAACATTGATACATTGTAGCTAAAGAGTTCCCTTTTATTTAACAAATCTTACGCGACCAGAAAAAACAAGCGCGCGCGGAAAAATAGTCTTTGCATTTGCTCACGTCAGCAGCGTACACCCATGGGGCAAATGGGGGACGCTAAATTGACCAATCGGAGCGCGCGCTTTACTTTGGTTATGTTATAATTTTCTTTATTCTCTCCAGGTCGGCCTCATGGGATGAAAAAAAAAATCTTGAAATCAAGTACTGTAACGGATGAAAGAGGAAAGGATGACATCCAATAAGGTTAGCTACTGAGTTTTGTAACCAATAAATACGGCTAGGCCGGGCTTCTAACAACTATGACTGGATTTAGCAATTTAAAGCTAACCAAAGTTAAAAAAACATGATAGAAAATACAAACAAAACAGGAAGAAGATTCCTTCAATCTTCGATTTTTTCGATCTTTGTCTAATTAAGAAGACTTGCAGTTTTACGGCTCTATTGCTTTGAGGACGCATGCTACCTCACCGTCTGTTAACACTGGTGTCACAGAAATACACTCTGCCTCGCCAAATACCGATCTATTTTTAAAGCAAGTGCCAAGAATAAAAATGAGCTTGGCGATCCTTGTGTTCGTCATGAAGCATTTACCAAGTGATGGAAATGAAGTTTCCTATTGCCTTTAAGTAGAGACATTAGAACTGTCAGTCTAAAATGTGATGGCTTTGATTAAGTCTTTCCATCTCAACATTGATCCTCATCATTTATTAGGAAAACTACTCACCATCGTTATTAGTATGGTTGTTTTCATAATATGAATTTCCTTGTTTTTTTCCATCAAGACAGCGTCTGGCGTAGGATGAGGTTATCACAAAATCAAGGAATTCAAGTGAAGAAAAAGAAAATGACAGCCTTGATAAAGATGAGTTTTTTTGCTTGGTTATTTTTTCGAATTGACTATCTGCGCTTAAAAGTCTGGTCTGCTGGTCTGTATGGATCGTAACAATCTGGATTTACCGAATGTCTGCATCAAAACTTGTCAGAGTCAAAACTGTAGGAAACCAACAAACATGGAAATTATTTTGTTTTCTTTGCTGTTTTATCTCTTTGATCAAAGCGATTTATAACACTATTAGATTGATGGATCAATCTTAGTGCATTGGTTCTGTTGTTGACCGAAATCACGACAAAAAATCTAGTTAGTGTTTTGCAACTTATCACCATCTTTGGAGCTAAATTGTCTAATCTCTTGATGTTGAAACCAAGTTTAATATCTTTGAAAGTCTTAAAAACCCCTCTAGGATTATTTTTAGATCGCTGAAAAGTTTGATGTTAGCATGATATCTTTTCAATACTTTTCAGTACTTTTCAGTTCTTCATTCAATAAAAAACCTTGCAGTCTTATTGTCTAATGTCTCGAGACCGTTTCAAATTAATACTCTAAAAAGTGTTAGTTTTCCAACTTTTTCATGGAATTATATTTTATAACGCTAATAAAGTTAATGGTCTGGCAGTTTTTTCTTTAAAAAAAAATTAGAGCAATTTTATCTTCTTCAATGAAACTGTTGAGTAATGCACCATTTTTCAAGTCGGGGGCGGTCTTGGTCATATTGCGGAAGCCTCATTTTACATCGCGTTGCCAAAAAAAGAAGTCATTTTATTGATTTTGAAAAATATCATTCACATTTTCACGTGCTGCGATTTACATTTATAAGGTGCGACCATAAGCTTGAGAAGAATTATTAGATTTTTCTATTTTTTTTTATTTTTTATTTATTTTATCTAAAATATAGAGCATAGTTGTTTTTGGCATGAGTTTTCATCGAGGAACCAAATAGCAGTTGAAACTCAGTAAACTTTCCACAATTACTATTCTCATTGCATTTTCATTCCAATTCGATGATCTCAGAGGAATTGCCAGCGAACCCTTCGATTCTTGTTCGTCGTTGCTTGAAAACACAGTTATTTCCTTTTACTCAACCATTAAAGAACACGATCCTTTAATACCTAAACGCAAGTTCAGAAGAAAGGCGAGAATGTAACTTGATTTCACTCATCTGAGAGTATCAATCTGCTGCCCAATTAATTCTCTAAATCCACGTTACGTTCCCATCTCTTTGTAGAGAAACTCAACACTGGAATTTCAATACTGATCTATAATAGTTTTAACGTTGGTTTTTCTATTAAGGAACCACACTCAATCATCACAGATTAAAAAACTAGAAAGGTTTCAAGTCTGTTGCATTTGTTGATTTTTTCCGTTTTATTTGCAGATTGATTGATGAATCAGACAAGAAAGACAAGTGAATACTAAGTTCTACTGAGAGGTATAAAACAGATGTAGGGCATTTCTCTCAAGAATACGGCGGTTCGTTAATCGACGATTTGAAGCCGAAGATTTGTAATTTTACATCGCGTTGCCAAGCAACAGTTTGACGAAAAAAGAAGTCATTTTATTGATTTTGAAAAATATCAGTAAGATTTAAATCGAAGATTTGTAAGCAAATGTAATTTCGCGATTTTGCTGGACTTAAAAATTTTTTGTCGGCCTACTATTCATGGTATGTGCTGCTTAAAAGTTTGAAAATTTCCCGCCAAAAAACTTAGAAAAGTACGGGCGCTTGTAGTACGCATGCGCCATTTTTTTAAAAATTCAGTCTGAGTAACATTTGATCAAATGTGGCGAATTTTCCCGCCAAGAGACTTAGAAAAATACGGTGCCCAAAATACGCATGCGCCAATTTTTTAAAAAAATTTTACCGAAGTTATATCTCGTAAATATACCAATAAACTTCATCTTTATTTCCTTGTTGTCTTGTAAATTAATATACACTCAATAAGCCACAAAAGTTTCATATTCAACAAAGTATTTTATTTGTTTTAAATTCTCTATAATCACAAGTTAAGTAATTTTCAATTGAAACATTCTTCGTATATAAACCAAGACTTTCGGCGGGAAAATTTGTACCAATTTGCACAGAGTTTCCCCTGGCGACATTTTCGGCAAAAATTTTAACAAGGCCTCCTTTAAAAATTTCCCGCCAAAAGAAGTTAAGTAACGCCAATTTATCCTCTCAGAAAAAAAGTCTATACGGTTTTCATTTCTTTGCAGAGATGATGTGTGAAAACCTCATGACAAGCTATAGAAATGTGTCGTCAAAAAAATTTGATCAATTTTGTTAATTTAAAGTGTTTTTTAAACCAGAATTTTTTTTTTAATCCTACAGCTTGCCTTGATGTTTTTTTCGTAGTTAAAGATCTTAAAGCCGTCAGTTTTCGAATATAACACAGGATACAGGCTGAAAGAGCACCTAATTTATCCGAGATTTTGGATCGAAATTAAGTGAAAGAAATTTAGGCTCGCACGGCCTTGAACTTAAAATTATTTCAAGAGTCGGAGCACTCTTTGAATGTAATTTGAAAAATAAAATTGTATCAAGTGTTGATTTCAGTTGTGAAGGCCAAGACCTCTCGCAATTAGGCTCCATATTTTTGTGTTATTGTAATTATAACCCGAGTTTCAAAACAAATTACAAACTTTTGGCAAGATTTTTTGTTTGTGTATTCCTGTGTTACACCGAGTTACAGCACGTAAGATCTTCCTTCCACTTAATCTAAGGAGTAACTGAATTAACTATTTTAAAACCAAATGCCTGGTCTGAAGAGCAACACGTCATTCGTTTTTGCAAATGCGACTCAATTTACAAGATTAATTGGATTTACCTAAAAAGTTCATATTGCAGAAACAATTGTATAGAAACCAACAAAAAGTCAACCATCGCGATAAAGAAATGAAAAAATTTCTCACCTTTCAACCTTAGGACACAATAAAATTTACCCTTTAATTTGGTCATAACGAGTTCAGTCGTACTTTGGCTGGTAGAATCAACGTGCTTTCTGTTCATATTTCAATATTATCACAAGATTGTATGTTCACTTGTTCTTAATTCCTTTTTTATGAAGTTTATCATCGATTGCAATATGTAGGAGTATTCAACAAGAAAATCCAGCAACTAATTTAATTTGGCAAGCTATTGAATGCAACAATTTTTTTTCTAGTTGTATTTCTGACTCGCACGTTTGTTCTTTAAAAATAAACGTGCCTTACCAAAATTTCAAATTGTTGAGGACAAATTACAGAGTGTTATTTTTTATTTTCTTGTTCGTCTGGAAATACCTTGAGACAGTTATGCTCCTTCATAACAACTAACGGTTAATTTACCAACAGTTGTGTAATTGTTTATTGGCCAGAAGAACGGTTCGTATGTTTGCGTGGATTTTCGTTTAAAGTCTAAACTATTCTTCAACGATTTGTGAAATACTTTTCTACTATATCGAATAAAAGCTACTTGAACTATGGTGACCTTTACTCATTCGTCAATTTTTACTGGTTTATATAACGGTAGATTTCGCCGATTCTAATCAGTTTCCAGAAAAAGCTCTTGATCAGTCAGAGTTTTAAACGTAACATTTTCACTAAAACCAACCACAGTTGATTGCACACTGAAAGTAGTCGATAGAAGTTCTTAGATGGTACTGTACTGTTTTTTCTTTCATGTATGGCTAACAAATCGGTTTCTTTCCGAACGAAAGTACTGAAATTTCCAGTATAATTGAGTTCATATCGAGAGTGTATTTCGCCAACGTTTCGTAGCAATTTGAAGTGCAGTGAGCCTAAGAACTGTTGTCGAAAGTCGTTGACTGGCCCGAGTGGAGGTTGTTATTGTCAATTGTCAACTTTGGTTCGCAAAAGTGTTTTGTTCGGTTTTAAGGTAGGTAGGTAAATGGCTGTCAGAATAAATTGGAGTTTTGTCAGCTGATCAGTTGGCAAGGTTATTTCGTTCTGTTTAGTCTGTTTAATCTGCTGGTCATCCCTTTGACCCCTAAATCGTTTGTAAGGTGCTAGTAGTTGAAGTCTTTCTTAGTTTGTTAACAACCTTCTAAAAGTCAGTCGCTAAAGTAGTGCAATGTAGGTTAAACAGTGCCCTTTTTGAAATGAAAACAGGCAAAATATAAATTTTAGATTTCATTTGGTCTTTGTCCGAGGTCTTTTGTTCTAGTGCCACCTGAACAAATATCAACTTCGTGCAATATCAACTGGGGTATAATGGTGATACAAACTGTTAGCAAACCAAAAAGGCGAGTAGTACTTTGGAATAAACGATTTCCACTTTCAGATCAATTCTGTGGCCAGGTTTATATCAATTTCAAGTTATTAATCTGAGATGAATTGAATCAAATTATAGCTTGTAATTCAAATAAATCATGTGATTTCTCAAGGTTTGCATAACAATCCGCATCATTACGAACTATTCCAAAAATGGTGGCAAATTGTGAACTGTTCACTGACCAGGTAACCATTCCAATACTCTTGGTGAGAGAATGAAGACTTCGTATGATACTTCTGCATATAAAGAGCCACCATTTTTGCTACTGTTAGTCAATCATTTCAAAACTCTTATCTTCGCAGTATCCACTAATAATCTAGTCATTCTAGTGAATCTTCTTGACCAGACTCTTTGTCCTTCCATCCTTCTGAAAACTTTTCTACTCCTGAAAATAGAATTATGAATGTGATCAATGAATGCTTACTGTCTCAGAACGAAGACGTACAATCTTAGGACCTTGAAACATAATTTCTACTGATGTAATTCGCTCCCATTAAAGCACTTCTAACAAGAAAGAGAAAACACCAAGACTTTTCGAAATGTAATGTTAAATGAAGCGAAGGCCATCAAGTCCTTTGTAGAAGAGTCGCTACATATCCTGTGGCAATATTTAACTACAAGAAATCCTCCTTGAATCCTTTGGAGCAAGAAAACCCTATATTTTTTGTCAAATATTTTACCATCGTGGGTTCTGCTTTTCTCGAGGCCAGCACCCTAATTTAATTAAACTTCGAGTTGATGAACCGCTCAGAAAAACCAACCGACTCGCGTTTGATCGTTTAACTGAGACGATACAACAAGTTTAGTTATTTGAGGGAATTTAAATACAATCTTTTGCTGAAGCAATACTCACTTTGTGATGATACTAAAACCAAGGTACTTCTGTTACTTTTCTGAATTGTCTAACGTCTTCTATCCAGAGTGTATCTTAATTTTCAGGCCTTTAAAAGGCACGTCTTCATTCTTCGACGAACAGCGTGGTTTGCTGGAAATTCTACAATTCCTGATGAATATGGATTAGCAGCTTCAGCCAATAATTGACTAATACGTCACTGATTTGGTGCGTAGTTTTGTTTGCAAGCTTTGGAGTCAATTGAAAATCAAGAGGAATAAAACGCGTTCTGTGAGAGGAATTTGCATGTGAGAGGAAGAAAAATCAACTTTTACGGGACTGTAGAGAGTATTCTGTAAGAGGAAGAAACTCTGAAATGAAAAAAAAACATTGAATGAATTCGCTAATGAGTTTTGTAACACTCAAACAGTTGGAACTGATTTTGACAGGATTTCCGTTGAACTCCATACTCTGAATTATGTACACATCAAGTTTTATTAGTAAAATAAACCAAGGAACTTATGCTTCATCTTAGAATAGTATGGGATTATACACGTCTTTCATTTATTTCAAAAGCAAATAAAGACATCAAAGACTCATTGTCAGCGAGGATAAAGGTATGATGAATAAAACAAGATCAAAAACAACAAGATTCCCCGCGCCAGGGTTTGAACCCTGACCACGGACCGCAACATTATCTGCGTGTAAGAGTGAATTTTAAGATCATATTTTAGGAGACCTACGCACTATAATATCAAACCTAGCATCATAGGACAACACGTTTGTCAGAAGCAATGATTTTCAACTGGCTCAGTTGATAAAGAAGAAACTCTAGATTGGCTGCATGTTTCTATAAGAAAAGGCCTGTTTTCCTTTGTTATCTGATAAATTTGTCTACTAATGCATCATTACCTAAATTTTTCTTCTTGAGCAAAAGCAAGAAAATCAATTCGATGGTGAATGTTATGTGTATTATCATCTAAAGAAAAAAAATATGATGACGAAATTAAAAAAAAAAACAAACAAACAAACAAAACAAATAACCACAAGATTCCCCGCGCTAGGGTTTAAACCCCAACCACGGTGCAGTCAGATGTTCTACTCACTGAGCTGCGGGGAACTTTTCCAGATTTAAGGCTGAATTTTAAAGTCATTGTTTAGGTGTCCTACCCACTGTAAATATCAAGTTCAGAAACATAGGCCATGGGACGACAACAATCCTCTTTGCAAGGGTTTGCAGTCGAGTAAATCAGTAAGAAACTCTGTCCACTTAAATTTTCTGTTTCTATCGAGAATTAAAATGATAAAAATGACAAATGATATGTGTATCAGAATACGTGGAAATCAAAGACCCGTTACCAGCAAGGAGAGAAATATGATAAGAGAATATATAAAAAAACAAAAACGACAGGGTTTAAACCCTTACCACGGACTGCAACATGGTGCAGTCAGATGCTCTACCCACTGAGCTGCTGGGAACTTGTCTGCATGTAATGCTGAATTTTTAAGTCATATTCTAGATGTCCTACGCTGTCGAGATTAAGCCTGGAAACATAGGCCCAATGCCATAAGAGGACAAGAATCTCCCTCACAATGGTTTATCATAAACTCAGTAAGAAAAAACTCTGTACACCTCGATTTGTTTCTATTGATGATTACTTATTTTCTTCTACTATACAGTCAATTTTTGTTCTGATGGAACACTTTAATCTAACCCATGATCTTGCCGGAGCAGAACCATGCAATCAATTCGGCGATAAATGATGTGTAACGGTATACGAGGACATCAAAGACCTGCTATCAACAAGGTAAAAAAATATAATGAGAAAAACAGAAAAGAAACAAAAATGATGGAGATTCCCCGCGCCAGGGTTTGAACCTTGTCCACGGACCGCAACATGGTGCACTCAGATGCTCCACCCACTGAGCTGCTGGGAACTTGCCAATAACATAACTGAAATTTTAAGCTCAGGTAATAAGGGTCCTAGACATTGCAATGTCAAACTTAACAACACATGCGCTATCCCATTGATCGATTAGAATCTTCTTAGCAATGGTTTGTGGCTGGCTTCGTTTTTCAAGTTAAGTGAATATCCGTTGACTTACATAGAATGTTCTTGATAATAATAATAATAATAATAATAATAATAATAATAATGATGATGATGATGATGATGATACTCATCTTTCTCTATTGAGGGTAGCACAAAATATCACAAGATAATCTACATGTGGCTCTCGTGAAAATCCAAAAAAAAAAAAGCAATAGAAAACAAAACAAAACAAAACAAAACAAAACGAACAAAATTACCACGTGAAAGATAAAAATGTTCCACACAGATCGATGTCTGCAAAGTTATTTTGCAATTAATACAAACTAACCCAGCCGGGTAAGTTCGTTTTCCTTATGTTGTTAATAAAGTGAGCTTGGGGAGGAGCAGTCCTTAATTCATTAAAAAAGACTGTTCCAAATTCTAACCGCACTTAAAGCACACAAACTTGAACATATGAGCTCACAAGAGTAAGCCATTCTTCCATTATCAACAAATTTCATAATGCTGAGATGCATTTCCACATTTTTTTTTATTTTTGTGCAAATGCACAACATGGTATCCAGTCTTTAAAAACAATTCTTGAATTGAAGGAGAGAATATCATGATACTAGTAAATGATTACAATACACATCAGTTATCATCTGTAGCCAAAGGAAGCTCAGTGACGTGAAAAACATAAAACGAAGTTTTCAGAAACACGAAAAAATATGAGTTTGAAGGAATGAAGTGTTCAGGGTTTAAGTGATGTTCGCTGACACACTTCTGGGACAGTGTTGCCACTGAGCTATCGATGTTTATTCTAAATCACTAGTAATATTTAGTTCCAAACTCATCGCAACTGAAGACTTGCATGAACTTATAGGATGGGGTGGCATTGGGCATTGGGAAACGCAACCAGGGGAGCTGTGACGTTCAAATCGCCCGAGATAACGCAGTTCGATCTAATTCGAATGAGAGCATTCTTCTAATGTCACTTCTATATTTTGAGGAAAAGAACAAATATAATTCGACGATAACTGATGATGTGTTTATCGGCTTAGTAACAACTTAAAAGTCTCTTTTTTAGCAGGATAAAATGTGACAGAAGAAAAAAAAAACAAAACTTCCCCGCACCAAGGTTCCAACCCTATGATGAACCGTAGATGCGGTCAGATGTTCTACCCACTGAGCTGCGTGAAACGCGTTAACATTTAAGGTTAGATGTTAAGCTGACGATAACTCGGCAATTTCATCTCATCGTGTTGAAATTTAGTCGTATTGCGATGCATCAATTCAAGGAAATTAGAAAATAGTAAACCTTAATTCAACTGGATAGAAACAAAGCATAAAATGAAAAAAAAAAGATTAAAAATAAAATAAAAAAGAAGTGGGTATTATAGAAAAAAAAATAAATACAAAGACCAAGTCCTTCTAGCCAGGCTCAAACTCTGACTGGGGCAGCTGACGTGGTACAATACTCTCCCAACTGGAATGCGAGGAAATCTAGCCAGACCAAATTTTCATTATATCATATGAACCACACACGGCTTGGACCAACTTCAGAAGCATGTGCAGTGAATTAAAATTATGTTCACTAATCATGTAAAAAAACCGCAACAAAAAAACAACAAAACGAAACAAAAACAGACATACCAGGGTATCAGGTCATTGGTAATTTTTATTAGTAAGGGATAAAAAGTTATAAATTTTGTGATATAATATGTAGCTTTCCGAAAGTTTATATACTATTCCTTTGAATTAAAAAAATGCGGGTCACAGTTTGTGTGGGCCCTCTAAGTTTAAACACAAATACAGTGTCGACATTTTTTGGCCCATTATAGATTATCGGACAGTGTGTCTTGAACAAAAACGTTCCAATATTTATCTAGATTCTTATCTCACACTACAGAAAGACTTCTTCACTATCGTAGGCTACTACGTCCGTATTCATCTAACATTAAACCAGGATTCATAAGACTAACGACATCCACATTCCCGAACAGCCATATCTTCATGGTAGACCATTTGAAATTCGTCATTGTGGTACTCGATGGCGCTTATTCCCCGTAACTTAATCGGAACACAGCAGGGCTGGCCAGTTCCCTTGTCTCGTCCGGATGAAAACAAAATGGCGCGAATGATGGCGTGGTCAGTGGGGTTGACCTGATAATAAATGTGTGAGTTCATCAGGCACTATAAGTGACAGATCTGTAATGTTATTGAACCCTTGCGACACTTGCGTTTTGGTTAAAGTAACCAAGATTCTATAACCAAATAAATTCTTAGCGCTCTGTGATTAGTCATTGCTTATGAATCTTTCAGAGTAAAGAGGTGAGGCTGACGTCATAGCAAAATTGTTTCCGTTCCGTTGCATGACATGCGCACATTGGCGATCTAGAGCTGACCATACCATACAGAACTAACCGTATAGCTCGCTAAAGACCCATGAACATCTCCTTACAATTGGATTTGACCCAAACCAGAACTTTTTGAGTCCAAGAGAGACAAGAGAAAAAATCAGAGCGAGCGAATCACATAATTATAAGTTAGGGCTTGTATTGCGTAAATTAACAGGTGAATACGTATGATCAATTGCGCATTGCACAACAATCCAAGTGCTTCTAAACAAAAAAAAACTAGTAACTCATACCATTTTGTGAATTCTTTACGTGGATCTAATAAAATCTCATTTTGAAAATCGCTTAAAATGGGTTTAAAAATGTTGAAAACATAAAAACTTCTTAATTAAAAATTCCTAAAAGTACCCATTAGGATCTAAGGTAACTTCCTGCCTTCGCGCGCTAGTTTTATTAAAATACTAGCAAACTATACATCAGAAGAAAGCTTAATAAATGCAGTTTACGATAAAAATGTAACTTAAGCGAGTTTTCTTTTCAGGAAGAGTCAGGAATTGGTAAGGCGTGAAACGACAGAAGGTTCTCCTATAGAATTTATCGGGTATCGGATGTCGCAGCACAAGCAGAATGGCTGCACAGTCTTAATCACAAGGCATCAAAAAAAGTGTGTCAAGCTTTTCCGATATTGTGACTGGCTGTCTAGAAATCGGCATCTAAAGTTGAAGTAGGTATAAATATGAGAGGCCTATTGCGTTAATGTACGTCACGGGACAACTATTCCAAATACCAAAATTTCCCGACACACTTTTGTTGGTCCCTATTCCTGGAATGTTTTGGCGAAACTTGACGAAAATTCTCTCAAAGTGGATTATTGCTCTCAGAATCTAATGCGAGATTTTAGCTCCTAAAGATTCGTAAACAACGCACACCACGCCAGGTGATTATCTCGCCTCCTGAAACCGCAAACCAATGGAACAACGGAACCTCCTGGCGTCAATGACGATGGATCAAGATTTCCCGGGAAAAGTAACTCATTGCAGACACGGGTTTCTGTTTTTTTACCCTTGATCGCTGAGTGGAGAGTTGAGGAGGACGACACAATAATAGGTAAAGTTGTCAAAGGGAAAGGATAAAACCCGCAGCAAAAATGAAAAGACCGGAAAATGAGCTTAGAAGCTACAAAACGAATCAACAGACAGCTTTCAAAATTACGATTCCAGGCGATCGTTAATGTTTTTGTATCAAGGCTATTACTTGCATAAATGACAGGATACCTCGTTTTTAACTATATCTATGACAAATTTCGGTTTGACGGCGGCTTCTTTCTTCGAAATCTGGACGCCAGCATAGAGCGTAGTAGCTTTCGCTTTCACCAAGGATTTTTTCTTTTCTTGACAGAATGGTTCTCTTTCTTGATTTTTTGGGCTTCTTTTCTTTTCTTTTTTTTTTTTTTTTTTTTTTTTAAGGAATTTTTGCTGCTTTTGATTTTCCATGGGCAAAGATAAGAGCTTCTGCGTTTGAATTAATTCCAGTGCACAAATGACATGAAAAACGAACCCCAAGATGAACAGTTCCCGCGAAAATTCACCAAAGGGTTATGCCCTGATGCGAGATTACGACACTTTCCTGATTTATTAACTTCAATTAGAAAATCCGTTTTTCTAAATAACTTGGACGCTTTGGAGATTTAAAATTCTTTTTTTGGAAACGTTAGGTAAAATGTTAAACTCAATTTTAGTTAAGTAAAGGAGAAAACGATTTTTTCGGCCTCTGAAGGTGGGAAGTAACTTTCTGATGCGTCTTAATCAAAGTTCTAAAACAATTCTCCCTCCTTTTGCAAATTTAAGAGGCAAGCTGTCACCAGGTGTTTTATAGTTATACTGCTGGCCTCTTGCTGGAGAAGTCCTTTGGTTGACATCAGATTAGAGAGCTTGCTTTCCTCAATATTGCATGTAATAAGATCACAAATGTGTCTGGGAGCTGCCTGATGAGTACACCGGAGTGGTTGAAAAGGAGGCGAGATTCTGCAAAACAAATCACTGAATGCACTTGGAGAAAAACCAAAGCTGATCCCAAGTCACTTTCAAAAATGATTAGAAATAAAACTTTCTTATTGACTCCATTGAAGTCACCAAGGTCATAGAAGGCCACAGTAGATCTAAGCTATTCCCAAAATATTAAGATCAAAACTTTTGCCTTGGAGCAGAAGCATATTTTGCCACCTACCAAGAGAAGGAAACTTACATTTGTGCCCAGTGGAAATCTGCAAGCTCCTGCACATCTGTAAGCCTCATAGAACTGGGGAATGATGACATGTTTCCAATTCATAGTCTTATGAAGCTCAACTCGCATAGGATGCCGGGAACAAGGTACCTGGTCCTGGATGGAGCGGTGAGGTCTTGGCTGGGGTGTCATAAGACTCTTTTTACTCTGACTGTCAAATCATTGTGTATAAGTGAGTTGAGAAGGGAAACTTATGTACTCTTCAGCAAGAAAGATTTTATTGTTGAATGCTTTAAAATCACGCAAAAATAGACCTTCCACAGAGCAACAACAGAAAATACTAAGCATAAAATAGATGCTCATTTTATAGGGACACTGGAATAAAGGAGTCATATTAACAAAGATAAATTTAGCAAATGTTATCTACCGTTTTCGAGGAAATGAAGTGTCCTCCTTCATTGGCTTGGACAGTGTTCGCACCATTAACAGTGGTCTACCATCCTTTCCTGCACTAGTAGCATTAAATATCACTCTAAGAGAAGCCTCATTCATAGCCTGGTCTCCCTGTAACCTAATGTAGACTCCATGATTGAGATGAGGGGAGCTTATCCATCTCTTCATCAAGGAGCGGGCAGGGAACAAAATAGACTTCACACCACCCTCCTGAATCTTAACCGAATACACAGGTTTGTGGTCAGAGTGATCAAACAGAACAAGGTGACCACTCCAGAGGGGGGTTGGGATAGAACCAATGTGTAGTTCAACTGTCACTAGAATCTCTGCAGATTTAATTGTTTTATTGGTTCGAACTTGAGAGGAATTCAGATTGAAGAAAATTCCATTGTGTCCAGGGAGACCTGAGTACAAAACATGAAAGAAATTTTAATTAAGGAGACAATGGAAACTGAATAACTGAATTTAAAAATACGTTAAATGCTGCAAGAAGATTCTCCGAGGTAATTTGAAACATGTTCATCTGAAGATAACTTAACTAGTTTCTAAATTTAACTTAATTTTTTTCAGTTCTCTTAAGTATTCATGGATAACATTTTACATGCGAACGTCAAGAGAAAAGTAACATTTTAGGACTAAGGATTCACTGATCTCATGAACTGGAGATAGTAAATCTTGTCGGTCCACAGGATATTCCAATGAGAGTTAAAATTTCTCCTCTACGCGTTATAACTAAGATTTCAATCAAATCTTCTGTTTCACGTCTGTTTTCGTAGCATCTTCCTTAAAGTTGTTGTTTCGATCTCCTTATCCGCCATTTTGAATGCTCATTCGAAATGCCGCTGTACGTTTGTTCCCAGACTCCCGTCTGCGTTCTCAGTTTTCGCGTAACACCCCAGAGCACTGGCCTCAGCTTTTTCAAAAGACATCACACCGTAGTCTGCCACGAAAATGTTTTTTTTTTTTTTTTTTTTTTTTTTTTTTTTTTTTTTTTTCCAACATCAAATACACCTTGTGCCGGAGTCAGGAAGTATGGCAAAATATTTCCGGCATATTCCGTGCTTAGACAAACCTGGACGTTTCATTTCGAGAGTGATGCGCGTTTTAATAATCTAGATGAGTTGATAACTTTTAGTACTCTTTCTGGTCTTTTCCGGAAGTCTAGGTATTTATGATTGTGGAGCACGAATCTTACACGGTAGTATGTAATGTTATCGTAAGAATTTTTCCAAACCGGAAATTGTGAAGAAAGCTCAGCTCAGCTAGACGAAAACAGGAATTGGATAGAGATCAGTGAAGCTGTTTTTGGCAGCGATCAAAGCCGAGATATGGCCTGTATCAATAATGACTAAACATCCGACAATAGGCCTGATAAAATGGCGCTATTTATAAACGACAAGGTCAATCAAACTTTTCCTTGCGAAAATATCAATGGTACAAAGCACTCAAAAAAGGCGTGTTCCGTCCACACATTAACTCTGATTTTTTTTTTTTAGATAAGGGAGGGTCAGAGTAAAATTCCCCTCATGTTGACCTTTTGTTAGCCAATTCTTTCTCCAAAAGTAGACCAGGTGCTCTGTGCTTTTTTGTTGTGTTATTGTCTCTACAAATGCTGAAAACGATTTGTTCTTCTTTCCTATCTAATCCATCGCGAAATCGATGAACATTGGAGCAAAATTTACTCCAGAGTTCACGGTGCGTAAAAATCACGATATCTTTTAACCAATTTTTGCTCACTTGCATGACGAATTACCGCACAAGGAACTAAGGATTGCTCGAAGTCCTTTTTAAATTCTGAATGATGGGCCAAAATTAGTCTGTGGCTGAAAACATCGAGGTGGTCTATTGCTTTGTCGGTAAGATCTGATTTCGTGGATTAGTAGTTTTTATTTACTTGTGGGATAATGTTTACGTCTCTAAAGGGGTAACGTGGTGTTGGTTTGAAGACCTTGTTCGAAATGAATACGCAGCTAGAATTGGGAAGTAAGGTGAAACGTTTTTCGATCCGAGGAGTACTAACTGTTTAGTTTAGGTGAGTATCGAGGCCAGAAACTTCAGGTGCGACGCAAGCATAGGAATGAACTTTACTCAAGGGCGAAAAACTGTTGCGACAAACCTATGCCTAAATAAAAATTGGAAGGAAAGTACGCCAGTGCACATTTTAGGTGAGCCCTTCCTCCGGCTGTGGATCTAGGACTCTCAACCTAGGCGAAGCAATCTAACAAAGTCCTTCCCACCAAAATTTCACCAGACACCAGCATGCAAGGTGGCGATTAACGCTCACTACAAGTTCTACGAAGAGGACATAGGACGCAGAAAAACATCAAGAACGAGCCGCAATTTAAACCTATATAAGACTTATTCACACGGGATCCTCGATGAAAATCATTCTTTGTGGCATATTTTGTTGCGAACCGTTGCCAACATGTGTGAATAAATTGAAGATACAAACTGTTCGTTCAATGATGTTGTTTAGGTGCTACGAAAATATAGTTCTCCGAGGTATTGTTCGCATTTCCGGAGTACAAGATGCACCGAACAACGTAGAGAACTAATTGTGTGCTTCTCTGAGCAATATGGAGTTACGATTGCTTGTTCGTTCCCACAAACGCGCATTCCGACAGCATACAAACTAAATTCGTGACATGAGGGAACACAGAAACGAGAAACAAAAAGCAGAGCGAACTGAAACGTCGTTAAGTGTATATCTCGAGTTTAGATTTCAAAGCAAAGGTGGATTTGGATGTTTATCAGACTTCTTTTGGATTCTGAACGCAAGAGATGCTAATTCCATAGCGTAGATTAAGCTGACTATTAGAAACTGAATTTAAAACCACTTACTCTGCCCAATGTAACAATAGAATGTATCAGGCCTCTTGGAATTTCTTCCAACATTCCGATTTTGTTTGGTATATTTGCGGTACAACCTCATCAAAGGCGCTGGAACATCCATTGAAGACTGAGTCACTTTGCTTGGAGAATGGCTACGAAGAGCATACTGGAATATTTTACTGAACTCAATGCTGGTTGAAACGTTGTTTCCGAGTGAAAACGGAGGAGCCGTTGTGAAGATAAACACCGCCATAAAAAGATAGCATGCAAGCATGATGCCCACAGTAGAGAAAACAGTGAAGTGTTGCTTCGAACGAAAATTACTTCACGCGAAGACGGAATGTTTTAATTTACCGACCACGAGCACTTTCCTTTACAGGTTACCCAATTTACATGCCCATTTACATGTCAACATCAAAATAAAGCCCCTATTTCAGCCACTCATAGCAAAATAAAACCTCCCTTTGTCGTGACTTTTACGTGTAAACACCCTACATATCTGATGTTACTTGATGACGGTGCAAGTGCCCTGCATGGGTTGAAATTATCTCCAAGATCTTGTATAAAATTCGTCAGACAACGAAACAAATCTCTCGACATTAAGACAAAGCAGAGCAGTATTGATCACCCCTCAGCCGAAAATCACTTATTTTAACCAATCAGCTAATCGGCTGAAAAATTGTAGCCCACGCACTAACTGAGAAATGAAATAGTAAATTATACAGAAGCATTTCACGTCAAACTGGGTTATAGACTTCTGATTTTGAAGGATGTGTAATATTAGTAAATAAGTAAGTAAGTAAAGACTTTATTTAAAGAGGGTTAACACTTAATAGCCAGTGGCTAATAAACTTGTGGCCCTTGGAAAATAAAATTACAAACTATGAATACAAATATAATAGGATAAAAGTTAAAAACCTAAATTTATGAGAGACGCGAATAGTTGAATTACAATAAAATTAAAAACTTCTGTAAAATATAGATATAAATAGATATAAAAGTTAAATCCTAAAATAGTCAAGATGTTGCTGCGCTGCGGAAATCGTTTTGAATACGTGAGTCTTTAAGGACTTAACAGAGTCTGATTTTTTGATATTTAGAGGCACATTATTCCAAAGTCTTGTTGCTGATACAGCAAAAGAACGGCCTCCTTCAGTCTCACGCTTATAATCATGAAGGCCGGATAGAATACCGTGTGCTTCTGTCATGTTGTGTATTGTTAATTGTTAAGTGTTCATTGAGATAGTTCGGGAGAGAGCCATTTACGCGCTTATGAAAAAATAGCAAATTTGTTAATTTTACTCTGTTCACAAAAAGGTATCCATCCCAGTTTATTAAAAGGTGTCATAGAGGGTGCTCGGCGGTGGGCATATAAAATAATTCTAGCTGCACGCTTCTGTAATTTCTAGACTCTGTAAAGTGATTCCTTGTCACATGATGACCAAATGACGTTAGCAGTGCTCATGACTGGGCGAAGAATGGCATTACAGAACAACAATCGCTTTTTAAGTGACAGAAAGGCTCTGATTTTACTCTAAACACCTATGAGCGAGGCAAGCTTATTGCAAAGATTTTCAACACTACAGTCAAATGAGAGTGAACTATCGATCTTGTTAAACCTAAAAGTGTTGCACTATTTACATTTACGAGCCTATTGTCCTCAACTGTGACAACAAGTTCATCATTGATCTTAGACGTCAGGCGCTTTCAGGTGATCGTTGAGACTTTGGACTTTGACTCTTTGATTGGGAGTTTATTTGAGTCGGCCCAGTGACGTATTTCATTTGCGGAGGTATTTAGAGAAGTTTAAGTTCAGGTAAATTATTAAAGCGAGCAGATGCTGAAAGGGTAGTATTATCAGCTTTGAGGTGGTTGTTACGAATGCTAAGACCCCGAAAACTAAGACCTAAGACCTAAGACCCCGAAAACTAAGATCCCCCGTCTATTTATTGATTTACACTTTTCCGGTGGGTCTTAGTTTTCGTAATTACGAAAGCTCATTACGAAAACTAGGACCCATCTTATTTTTCTTGTTTATCAATTTTATTTTATTTTAATAAATAGAATATGTATATGTGCACGATCCTTCGCAGTAAAGCACTATTTAAGCAATAGTGAAAATCAGACCTGAAAAAAATTTCAGGCCTGTGGATCGTGCACTAGTATCGCAGAGGTCAGTGGTTCGAATCCCGTACAGGCCTGAAATTTTTTTCAGGTCTGATTTTCACTATTGCTTAAATAGTGCTTTACTGCGAAGGATCGTGCACATATACGTTTCATAACCGCAGTTCATACATATGTTTCATATGTTTGTTGTTGTTTGATAAGTAGAATATGTTGAAATGTAAAAAGCGAATAATAGACAGCAACTAACACCCCGTCTTTTCAATGATTTATCACTTCTCCGGTGGGTCTTAGTTTTCGTAATTACGAAACCTCATTACGAAAACTAAGACCCCATCTCATTTTTCTTTTTTATCAATTTTATTTTATTTTAATAAATAGAATATGTTGAAATGTAAAAAGCGAATAATAGACAGCAATTAACACCCCGTCTTTTCAATGATTTATCACTTCTCCGGTGGGTCTTAGTTTTCGTAATTACGAAACCTCATTACGAAAACTAAGACCCCATCTCATTTTTCTTTATATTTATCGATTTTTTGAAGGTGAGCGGGAGAGTTTATATATCATCTTGATTTTTTGCTTTTCCGGTTGGATCGAAGAACCTGGATGCTTTAAGATTAAGAGGGATTTTCTACAACCTTTCCTTGCGTTTCGAAGCATTTTCTCTTGCGACACAGAAACTGAGTTATTTTTAGAATTGTTTTGCAACTGTTTTGAATCGTTCTACAAAATGCAAAAATAATGAAACTTGAGGAAATTTTTTTAAATGGAACAGTTCAGACTTAATTAGGGTTTTCCCACTTTATGAGTAGTGCCGTTAGTTGTAAAACGGAAAACGTTTTTTTATCACATTTCAGGTGGGATCTTAGTTTTCGTAATAACGAAAGCTAATTACGAAAACGAAGACCCCATTTTATTTTTCTTGTTTATTTATTTTATTTTATGAGAATATGTTGAAATGTAAAATGCGTATGAAAAGTAAATTGTATAATACACAGCAATTGTTTTGGGTCGTTCAACAAGATGCAAAAATAGTGAAACTTGAGGAAATTTTTCAAATGGAACAGTTCAGAATTAATCAGGGTTTGCACACTTTATACTGTCGTTAAGCTGCTGTTACACGTAACAATTTTTCCTGCAACGTGTCTCGCAACAAAATTTGTTGCAAGTTGCACGTACCATGTTACACGTTACAAATACCATGCAACTTGTCTCGCGACAAAAATTGCGTAAGTTGAAAATGACGCATATGTCGAGTACAGAGTGCGGCGAAACATGTTGCAAGAGCCATACTACAAGCAGTTTTGTTGTGCAGCTTGAAAAAAATTGTTGCAGAAAGTAGAAAACGATTCAACTCCTCGTGCAACTTAAAAAAAAAATTCAGTTCCATGAAGGGATGTTACACGTAAAAGTCGTAAATGCAACTTGCAACAATATTTTTTTCAGATACGATGAATATATGAAGTTCATATATTTTGAACTGCGGTTATAGATACGTATGATGCACGATCCTCGCAGTAGAGAGCGCTATTTATGCAATAGCGAATATCAGACCTGAGAAAAATCAGGCCTGTACGGGATTCGAACCACTGACCTCTTCGATACTAGTG